CCAGTCACAGCCCTGGGGCCGGATGGGAGCTAGGGCTCCCTACTAGGGACAAGCCATTTTTCCCAGCTGGCGGGTCTAAGCTCCCTTGATACTCATGCTAACTGTCCCCCTTTCCACACATGCTGGCAGGTTATTTATGGCCCCAGCAGAATATCTCACCTGTGGCTCCTCCCCAGCGGAATGCGGAGAGCTGCCCCGTCCCACTCTCACCCGAGAAGGGGAACATCTGCTTTTTATTTTTAGCTGCAGGCTGGCGTTTCAGTTGATCGAGCCCAAGGCCAGCTCTGCTGCTTTGCTTTGCTTTTACCTTCTCCCCTGTGCTATTCTGGGAGCGGCTGCACAGACCATGTTTTGCCTGCAGCACTCCACGGCTGCATCCTATGGTTGCAGGCGATCCCTGGCCCTAGCACTAGACTGCAGATGCACCCAGACAGACACCTACCAAGGGGTGAAGAAAAGGGGTCCTGGGTCGGGTGGCATGCTCCAATTCCTGGCTGCCCATTGCCTGTGCCCGGCCGTTTCATGCTCATAAGTGAGCTCTGTCTTCAAACCCCTCCAGCCATTTGCCCCCTGCCATTCTTATGGGGGCTGGGCCTGCACTCTTCTCATCCAGTAGTTCGCCTCTCCTGGTCCTGGCCCCTCTCGGCCTTTGGTAGCCAGCCACGCTCACAGCCGCCTCAGTTGGCTCAGTTGTTTGCTCACTGAGCCCTTGTTGGCCTCCTTGCTCCTGGCCATGGGCAAAGGATTGGAAGAATGGCTGATACAGAGGCTGCAGCATCTCTGGCCTGCACGTTGTTTCCTCTTCACCAGTCAAGGGGCTGCTCTCTGAATTCACCCAGTTGCTTCCTCCTTCGGTGGTTGTGGGCTGGGAGGCCATGGGCACGCCGGGATTGCTTCCCTTCCATGGCTGCACCTCGGGAATGGAGCAAATAGGGTTACCCTTGGCTTAGCTCCTGGGCCTACCCATGCTGCACTGGAGCAGGTCTGGGCGACCCTCCCCCAAGGGGCTGGTGGGGTCATCTGGGAAGCTGCATGAGGGTGTAACTTTATGGGCCCTCCCCACTTGAAGCTGTTAATACCCAAGAGAGTGGAATCTCCCAGTCCAATTCCAGTTTGTACCTCCCATCCCCTGGAGCGTCATGTGCCACTTGCCAGTATTCGGGGCCAGGCTGGGTGGCTCTCGTGGGGCGAGAAATTGATGCTACCAATCCAGCCTCATCCTGGCACAGACTCGTTTGGTCACAAAACATCTGCACAGCCCCCATTTCCCAACTGCAGCAAACCCAGCCAGCAGCAGGTGACTTCTGTCTGACCAAATTCCCGCGCTTGCCTATCCTGCTGGTTCTGTGCCCAAGAAGCCTGGTCTTGATGCTCTCCCAACTCCTTCTCCAGCCATCCTGCCCCCATCACACCCAGTCTGCAGCTGACCTCTTAGCCAGATCCAAGCTGTGTGTAGACACAAGGGCTATCTTGGGCAATGCCTCGGGTGTCCCGAGGCATCTGTACCCCAAAAAGGTCTTAATTACACCCAGTCCTTCCTTCCCTGTGTCCGACCCCCTCTTGGGGTAAAGAGATCAAGGATAGTCCCGCAGCCAGGGAGCTGGATAGATTTCAGTGCTTCTGGAACTCTTCCTCTGAAATGGGAGGAATAATCCAGCTCCAGGGCGAGGGAAGGGTAAATGCAGTCTGGTTGGTGATGCGCTATGTACGAGCGAGGTATGGGCGTTCTCCCAGCCCAGTCCTAAACTGGAAACTCCCCTGCCTCTTTGGGGGAGATGGCGTAGGCTGCTCCTCCAGCATACGTTAGCCTGGTAGAATTCAGCTCTTCCGGACAATGTCAGTGTTTATTTGTGACGTTATTGGAGTCTGATGTGAACATGGGAATCATTGTTGCAGCCACTGTTCTGTGTTTGCACCAAATCCTGTGCTGAGTGGGCCCCGTGACCTGTCTCGAAAGCTGATGATTCGCTGGTTCGGTTTGTGCTGCTTGTGGGCAGATGTCATTTTTGTATTTGTATCCTCGCATTCCAAATGTTCGCTCCTGGGAGTTATCAACAGGCGTCGCCCAGCCATTGTGTAAGGGTGGCTAGTCAGTGACTAGCAGCACTTGGCCGGCAATGGGCCTCCAGCGGTGCCGATCCACAGCTGAGGAACTTGGCTGTAAAGGTTCAGACCAGTCCGTGAGTGATGGCTGCTAAGGCCTGAGTCAGGCATGGTCAGTGACTGACTCACGTGACAAATACCATTTTGGGAGGGGAGCAATGGGATTCCCGCCGCGTGGGCAAGAGTAGAAGGAGGGCCCTGGGGGCTCCTCCAGCTTTGTCTTCACTCCAGCTCATCCCGTTAGGGGCAGCTTTGCCATGAGCCTGAAAGGACTGATGACCCACCCTAGCAGAGGACGTATTCCAGAGACTTACAGACAGCAGTTTATTCCATCTCTGCTGCACGCCTGCACCAGGAACTTGGGAATTGGCTTGTGTAATTTGTTTCCTTTAGCAATTTTACTCTCAACCTTTTCTTTCTTTTATGAATAAGCCATTAGCTGTTAGAATGCAGAGTGCATTGTGCAGAGTGCTCTTTGCCTAAGATCTGAGGTATAAATTTACCTGGGATGTGGCTGGTCCTTTGGGGTTGGAAGAACCTGTTCCGATTTGGCAAGATGGGTTTTGTAGCTTCTTGTGTGTAAGGAGCAGTGCTGGTGGTGGCTCAGGAGAAGCTGGAGTATTTAGGAAATAGGGAAGTTAAAATACCTTTATTTTGGTAAATGCGTAACTGCTGAAAGTTTCAGAGGTTACACGTTTACATGCTGAGGATTGGGGGGCTCTAGTACTCGTGGGGAGCCAGCTTCCATCTGCCGGCAGTGGGGGGAGGACGCTGTGTGTAATGGTGAAGGTTACCCAATGAGCCCAGCACATCAGTTACATCAGTTAACTGTTAACACTATCAAATCCCTACTAGGGAATAGCTTGTATGGTTTCTCGCCAGCGAGTGTGGTGAACAGATGTGCTCTTTGGTGGTTTGGTGCCTTTATAATGGAGGACCCTCAGTTGTGGGCTGCAAGTAGCCCTGTCTCTAGGTAATTTGCTCTGATTTGTCCCTCTCCGCCGTGCCCCCCTGAACTGCTATAGTACAGTCATTTGCAGCATTCACCACCACCCTTGTCTTTTTTGGAATGTCCATGGCTATGGGAAATTAAAGGGAGGGGGAGTCTGATCGTTATTTCGTGGCAGTAGCTGTCAATTCAAACATGAGGCATCAACACCACATGGCAGATACTAGCAAGGTCTCTGGCAGCATGTTTCTCGTGTGGCCTCCTGGGCTGCTTGGAGTCTTAGCTGCAACAGCATCTTGGGGTCGATTTGTGCATGGGTTTGAAATCCAAGTTTACTGGTTAAAACCCAAACCCTTCTGGGCCAGGGTGTGTGTTAGCCATTCCGGGCTAATTCCCTCGTCCCGGCACCGGTTCTGAAGTGAGGGCAGATGGTTGCACTGGGCCCTGGCAGGCTGTGCATCCTTGGAGCTACTCCGCAACGAGGTCACAGAGGTCCCTAAGGGGGATCAGTTTCCTCAGCCAAGTCCTTAGATCTGTCTAGGAGTTTCCAGTGCAGGCCGCCTCCACTTCCTGTCTCTCTGGGACTTACTCAGCCTGCCGAGGGCTGCCGCAGAGCCATGCCCTCCACACACTCTGCAGAAGAGCTGCGATGGCGCTCAGCTGCTTGTGTCAGGCACTCTGCGTAGAAAGGAATGGTGCAGCCACTGGCTTCCCATGCTGCTGGCCTGCAGTCTATTGTGGGCCAAGGGCTGGGGTGAATGGTTTTGTGCCGGGAGCTCTCTTGGCTGCATCCTCGGCTGGCTCTCTGCGCTGCAGGTGACAGCAGAGCCCGAGGGTCCCAGCTCACAAGGCGCCATTCTCTGGAATGGAAAGAAGGGGGAGTTGTTTGCTTTCTCGGCGCCTGGCTTCTGCGTCTCTATGTTCCCTGGGAGGGCAGGCTACAAGGCCCCTTTGCCCTGTGATCTGTGAACCTCCTTCCCAGCTGCCCAGGAACACGTGTGGCACAGCTGGGGCTGCATCCAGAGCCTTCCTGGATTTCCTCACAGCTTCAGCAAAATTGGGGTCATGTACCTGCTTGGAAAAGCACTTAACCTGGCAATTCGTGCACCATGCCACAGGTGTGCGGGGGAGGGGGCAGCAAAGGGCTGGCGGCAGAGCCATGAGGAAGGGGAGACAGAGCGGCTCATGCCTCACTGGGTGCAGTCCAGCTCAGCAGTTAAGCTCTGGGGCTGGTTACAGAGCACCTGCCCCCAACCAGGTGCTGGCCAGGGGGCTTCATTGGCATGGGCAAGAGCCAGTGGGGAGCCTGTGCTTAGCACCAGGAGGACCAGACACCTTTGCACCAAGCTGGTATCCAATGCCTGCACCATCGCGGGGCAAGGATCCGGGCAGGACCAGGGCCTGTGTGTTGGGCCTCATGGTGCCGGCTGCGTTCCCCCCCTCCCCCGTTCTCACATTGTCACAGGCGCCCAGCTGCGGGCCCTGAAAGAGAGCACTTTGTTTTCCCACCACCTCCTGCACAGGAGCTGTTCTCCCCATGTGTCTGGGCAGCGCCTGGCATGACTGGGCTGATCCCAGCTAGGGCAGGGACTGTCTCTCGCTGTGTGTCTTGGCAATGCCTGGCACGACAGGGCTGATCCAGTCTTTCAAAATCTGCCTTTATTCAATCCTGTATCCTTCACTTGCCAGTAGGAATGTTGCTGTGTATCCTGAGGTACAGAAGGGGGTGACCCTTGTCAAGGTGGGGTCTGGGCAGATGGGAGAGGGGAGGCGCAACTCCTGGCCTTTCCTTGGTTCTAGGCTAGCCCTTGCATTCCCTGGGGCCGACAATGGGCTCCAGAGCTTGGAGTTGTAGAGCTGGAATTCTCCCGTTCCGCAGGGGTTGGTTTATGAACACGTGGCAAGGCAAAGGAGGGGAGCTGTGTGTCTGCTGCCCCCCAGTCTCAGTGCTGTTCTGGGGGAGATGGTGCGGTTCAGTGTGATCTGGCTCCAGGCCCCATTTCCCTCTTCCAAAGGTGAGATTGGCTGGGGGAACCCCTCTCACCCAGCTAGGCGGCCTGTTCGCCCCCATCCTGGGGCGTTTGGTCCAAGGTTTCTCACTGTCCTGTGAGCCGTCTCATTGGGGCTATTTCCCATGTGAACACAGCTAGTTTTGCCCTTCATAGAATATAGAATCATAGAATAGTAGAACTGGAAGGGATGTCATCAAGTCTAGTCCCCTGCCCTCATGGCAGGACCAAGCACCGTCTAGATCAGTGGTCTCCAACCTTTTTAATCACAAGATCACTTTTCAATTTCAGTGCAATGTAAGATCTACCGCAAACCCAAATACCCTTGCCCCATTTCCTTCCTGCCCCTTCTTTGAGGCCCCGCCCCTGCTCTGAGGCCTCACCCTGCTCACTCCACCCCCTTCCTCTCCCATCCTCACTCACTTGCACAGGCTGGGGTAGGGAGTTGGGGTACATGCTCTGATTGTGGGCCAAGGGGTTTGGAGTGTGGGAGGGGCTCAGGGCTTTGCTCAGGGTGGAGGATTGGTGTGTAGGAGGAGTTTCAGGGTGCAAGCTCTGGGAAGGAGTTTGGGTCTAGGGGGACTCCCGTCCAGGGCAGGAGGTTGGGTGCAGGAAGAGGTTCAGGAAGCAGGCTCTGTCTGGGCACCATTTAGCTGAGAGAGTTTCCAGGTGGAGCAGTGGGTTAAGGCAGGCTTACTCCTGCCCTGGCCCCACACCACTTCTGAAAACAGCTGGCATGTACAGCAATGGCTCCATGTGCTGCCCCTCATCTACAGGCACTGAGACCACAGCTTCTACTGGACATGGTTCCCCTATTATTGATCACTGGGAGCTGCAGGAGTGGTGTCTGCACATAAGGATAGCATGTGGAGATCCCCTCGCTGCCTTTCTCAGGGGCTGCAGGGATATGCCTGCCACTTCCAGGAACAGCAGTTACCACAGGGATAATTACTCCAGCCACAACAGGTTAGGCATTTTAGAACTCACTACACAATTAAATTTAAGCATAAAAGAGAAATGAAAATTAAGAAATGCACAGGCCAGTCAAAAACCAAAAATAACCCACTTTGCAAGCAGTAAAAGAAGTAACAACTACCCCACATGTGTTGGGTGAGAGATGAAAGTGAAGGACAGTGTGTGTTTGTGAGACAGTCACACTTATGCTGTCTGTCTGTATGTCTGAGATTTGCATTGCCAAACTCCCTCCACCCCCTTCTCTCTGTGTGGAGATAGGGTACAGGAGTGGGGAGAAGACGGACACCCTGACATCCCTCCCCCCCCACACACACACCTTTTCCCTCTCATCCCCCCTGCACAGCAAGCAGGAGGCTCCTGGGGGGCAGCTCTAAGGCAGAGCAGGAGCAGCATGACAGTGGGTGGAGGGGCAACTTAAGTGCCAGCGCTTGATAGCTTCCTGGCCAAACCAGTCAGGATCCCCTGTCAGAGACTCCAAGATCTACTGGTAGGTCCCAATCTACTGGTTGGTGACCACTGGTCTAGATCACCCCTGACAGGTATCTGTCCAATCTGCTGTTAAATATCTCCAGTGATGGAGATTCCATAACCTCCCTAGACAATTTATTCCAGCGTTTAACCACCCCAACAGAAGTTTTTCCTAATGTTGAACCTAAACTTCCCTTGCTACAGTTAAAGCCCATTGCTTCTTGTCCTATCAACAGAGGTCCAGGAGAACAATTTTCCTCCCTCCTCCTTGTTACACCCTTTTAGGTACTTGAAAACCACTATCAGGTCCCCTCTCAGTCTTCTCTTTTCTAAAGCCCAGTTCTTTTAGTCTTCCTTCATAGGTCATGTTCTCTAGACCTTGAATGATTTTTGTTGCTCCTCTCTGGACCCTCTCCAATTTCTCCTTGTCTTTCTTGAAATTTGGTACCCAGAATTGGACACACTACTTCAATTGAGGCCTAATCAGCACAGAGTAGAGCAGAAGAATAACGTCTCGTGTCTTGCTCACAACACTCCTATTAATGGAAAAAAAGTAAACACGATTCTGGGATGCAACCGTGTCACACTGCTTGTGGTCCACTATGACCTCTAAATCCCTTTCTGGGGTACTCCTACCAAGGCAATTGCTTCCCATTCTGTATGCGTGAAACTGATTGTTCTTTCCTAAATAGAATATTTTGCATTTGTCCTCCTTAAACTTCATCCTACTTACCTCAGACCATTTCTCCAGTTTGTCCAGATCATTTTTTATTTTGACCCTATCCTTAATGCACTTGCAATCCCTCCCCGCTTGGTATCCTCTGCAGACTTAATAAGCATCCTCTCTATGCCAATATCTAAATTGTTGATGAAGATATTGAACAGAACCAGTCCCAAAACAGACTCCTGCAGAACCCTACTTGTTATGCCCTTCCAGCATGACTGTGGACCATTAATAACTACTCTCTAAGAATGGTTATCCAGCCAGCTATGCACCCACCTTCTAGTAGCCCCAACTAGTTGTATTTCCCTAGTTTATTGATAAGAAGGTCATTTGAAACAGTGTCAGATGCCTTACTAAAGTCTATGTACTCCACGTCCACCACTTTCCCCTTATCCACAAGGCTTGTTATCCTATCAAAGAAAGCTATCAGATTGGTTTGACATGATTTGTTCTTTCCAAATCCATGCTGGCTGTTACCGATCAACTTACTATCTTCCAGATATTTGCAGACGGATTCTTTAATTACTTGCTCCATTATCTTCCCTGGCACAGAAGTTAAACTGACTGGTCTGTAGCTTCCTGGGTTGTTCTTATTTCCCTTTTTATAGGTGGGCACTAGCTTTGCCCTTTTCCAGTCTTCTGGAATCGCTCCCGACTTCCATGATTTTTTCAAAGATGATCGCTTACGGCTCAGATACCTTCTGCCTTTCCCTGCTGGATTATGGAGTCTTTTAGCACCCAGTGCTTTCTCCCCTTGGCCACAGTCATGTCCCTGCTCAATCTTCTTTTAGATGAATCTGTCACGCAGCTGAAGCCTCTTTTCCAGCCCAAGGCTAATTTTTTTGTGGCTCCTTTCTGCCCCTGATTGTTAATTTCAGCCCCAGATGGAGCCAGGGCCGGGACTGATTCTCATCAATGTCATGCTGGCTTTTCTCCTTGGAGGCTGTTGGGCCTCGTGCCGGCTCCTATGGCTTGTGCCAAGAGAGGCACCCTCTCAGCGGCTTGGCCTGGCTTGTGTGGTCAGCAAAGCGCTTCCCTGGCTGGCAGGGAAAGTCGCCCGAGTCAGCCCTTCTCTAAATTGTGAATGCTGGGATGGCCCCTCTCCAGCAGCTCGCCGCGCAGCTCAGCTCTCAGGCATTTCATCCTCCTCATCCCTCTGGTTAGGGGAGAGCTCAAGAGCCCTGGCCAAGATCCACATCCCTCTTGTGCTGCATAGACCCCCCGGCCGAGATTTCCCCCCTTGTGCTAGGCACTGCATAGACCCACAAGAGGAGCCTGTCCGGCCCTGAGGAGCTCTGAGCCCTGAAAGGGAGGCAGGGGAGAGTCATCAATCCACACATCTCTCTAAGGGACAGATATGGCATTTCCAGGCTGGGCTTCCGAAGGGATTCAGGGGCCTAGCAGTGCCGGTCAGGGCCTCGCATTGAGCCTCCCATCTGAGCCCCTGCATCACAGGCCATACTGTCCCCTGGTCAGTACCGAGCCAGGGAAGCCTTCGAGTTAACTGCAGCCAGGGACGAGTCTCCGCTGAGATGCTCAGCTACCTGTGCCCACGATTCATCCCCCTTTTCAGGTCGCATTTGGCTAGCATCATTTCCTAGCCATTGGGGAGCATCAGACAGCTCTTCGCTGGCCTGCCAGGGAGCGCCCGTGCAGGACAGCTGTTGTTCGCACGCCCAGTCCTGCCTTTCTGCCCTGCCAGGCTGCTGATCCCATCCCCCGCCCTGCCTTCCCACCCCACCAGGCCCTGCCGGGCTGCTCTGCTGGGCCACCACTCCTGCCCCTGCCCTGCCTTTCTGCCCTGCTAGGCCACTGATTGCACTCCTACTGGGCTGCCCTCCCAGGCTGCCAATCCTGCCTTTACACCCAGCTGGGCTGCCAGTCGTGCTTCCCGGGCTGCCGATCCTACCCATCACCCTGCCTTCCCGCCCTGCTGGGCTGCCGATCCACCCACTTCCTCACCGTTCCCTGCAATTCTGTCCTGCAAAATCTTCGATCCCCTCAACCCTGCAAGAGCCATTCCCCTGCACAGCTAAACCAAAAACCAACCCCAGAGTAGTGAACATAGATGCAATTTTCCCTACTAAAAGAGGGATGTTACTGGGCTACCCATCACCCTGCCTTCCCGCCCTGCTGGGCTGCCGATCCACCCACTTCCTCACCGTTCCCTGCAATTCTGTCCTGCAAAATCTTCGATCCCCTCAACCCTGCAAGAGCCATTCCCCTGCACAGCTAAACCAAAAACCAACCCCAGAGTAGTGAACATAGATGCAATTTTCCCTACTAAAAGAGGGATGTTACTGGGTACCCAGTTAAATAGTTTAACAGTTTAACCGATTCTGGGAGCAGCCTCTGCCTGTGGTCCAGCTGTGCGGGGGCCTGGGAGCAACTGCAGTGGCAGCAGCCCTTGCCTGCAGCAGGGGCTGCTCAGGCCTGACCCCAATGGGTGGGGGAGGCGCTCCAGCCCCCTGGATCCAGTTAAACATGGCGTTTGCTTGCATTTAGCCAATTAAATAGAATTTTATGTCCCTACTAAAAGACTGAATGAATCTTGCTTAACCCATGTTAAAGACCCTTTAACTCCGGTTACAAGACACATCAAATCCCATCAGTTCCTCTCTTAAGTGATCAATTCAAAGTAAGAGATCCTGGGATGTTGCTGCGGGACCCACGGGATTCCTGTTCTGCTGCAGGGCTCCAGCCCTGACTCCTGGGGTCCTGCCCATCCGGGCCATGGCCGCTTTGCTCCCAGGTGCCTGGGTTCCTGATGGGGGCAGGGAGAGAGGAGGGTGAACATGGCAGCGTGTCAGTCCTCGCTCCTCTTGGGGTTAGAGCCCATTGATCAGAGTAGGGCCTCTCACAGGCTGGACCTTCGCCCTGCATCGGGCAAAGGATGCGGGTCGGGTTGGACAGAGGAGCTGCCTCTGCGCTGGGGAGGGTCCAGTGGTACATCACCCAGTGCTGCCTCTCTCCCTGGGCCTCCTCTGGCTTTAACCGCAGACCTGCGCAGGAATGGACCCATTGTGCAATCTTCTGTTTGCTCGGGAGTCGGGACAGTGCTGCCAGTCGCTCACCCCGTGGCATCTCCTGCAGCGTTGGCTCAGGCTTTCGGATCCTGAGTGATCTTTTTTTTTCCAGCTCCTTTTAGCATGCCAGGGAGGGGGTGTCTGTGCCATTCTCATCGCTGAGGGCTGGCCCACGAGCCCCTGATCTGAGGCAGAGGGATGCAGACACCTATGTTAGCTTGATGTACAGCAAACGCGGGAGTTACCTCGTGCATGGCCATCCTGCCTGCCGGTGGTGCACATCCTTACGCCTGGGCCATCTGGGAGGGCAGGGGCGTCGGGTGATTAGAGCGAGCAGGGGCTGGAAGGCAGGATGTTTCTTCCCAGCTTGGCTGACCCGTCTTTAGTTTCCCTTCTCAAACAGGGAAAGGGCCATTTTCTGGCCCAGCCCTCACAGCAAATGTGCGGCCGTCCCCTTGCTGCGGTCTGTTAGCCCTTTCTCCCTGGGAGCCACAGGTGGTTGGGAACGCCAGCCAGTTGCTGCGGTTCAGAAGGGCCACCCCATCCGTTCTGCAGCTTCTCTCAGCCAGCTGCGTTCTCTGGCTCTTCCCTGGCTAACGAGGACCTTCCGGGCTGAATTGCCTGCCCATCTGCTGCAGCCAGCAGGGGGCATGCTGAGGGGAACCTGCCCTGTGTGGGAGAGGGGACAACAGACCCCAGAGCGGGCCCTGGGGATCTGAGTCTAACGCCTCTCCTCTTGTCCCGCCCCCAGATCTCTCCCGGAACAGATTTGCTGAAGTGCCTGAGGACGCCTGCCACCTGGTCTCCCTGGAGGGGCTGAGTTTGTACCACAACTGCCTGCGCAGCATCCCGCCAGCCATCGCCAACCTGCAGGCCCTCACCTACTTGAACCTCAGGTAGTGGCCAGGCTGGGGCACGGGAGGGAGCTGGAGCCCCTGCT